CTTGGGCAGTGACCGTAGTCGAGAAGGTTCCAGAATGCCTATGCGCACGCCATACGCCAGGAATATTCTAGAAAGACCGGAACCATGTAAAGATGCCGGAGTGGGAAAGCCAAAAGATCCCGCAAACTCTGCTGTCTTTGTGTGCTGTTGAATAAAGGCCATTGCCACCAGAAACGCTCTCTTACCATTTTCTGCCTACTAGTCGGCTTAGAACAGACTGGGCATAACAAGGAGTTTTGCCAAACAGTATTGTGATAAAAGTCACTTTGTGTTTCTATGGTCGTAGCACCAATTCAACTAATTTGCCCCAGCTTTATTGAAAACGTATTTAGCTCTTTTTGGGCATGTTCGTTTTATTTTAGAGAATTTTTTGCTAAACACGAAGTACATATTTTTAAAAGTTCTTTAGACTTTCCTGAATATGCGGTAGACGCCAAACAGCAGAAAATTGAGCAATCGAGCCCTTAGACTAAACATATTAATTTTCTGACATTAGGATGCTACTTAACATCGGGAACTCGACCGACTGGTATACTACCGACTTTCCGTTTAGCATACTCACTGTAAGCAACTTAGCCAATATTCACATAAAAGCTCTTGTCTACGTGGCAGGTCTACATCGTATTCTTCTAATTTAAAGGACATAAAACCGTTATTAAAGATCTTGTTCCGTGTAAGACGGTGTCTCAACGTTAAGTCCGAGTTGGAAAATATTCTGTTTTGCCAGACATTCCGATATTTTTTGTATCAACCGAAATGAAGCAGGAATGATGTTGGGAAGCCGTCCGGGGTTGTAAAATAGTATCCCACCTAAAGTTACTCTTTCTCTGTACGTACTTGTTTTGACTAAGATAACAATGAATGGGATGGTTGGTTGGGGAGATACTCAGCGAAGACCGGTGCGTCCTGTTGCATGAATTATTTGGGAATCGGTGTACATGCCCTTCAGCCTGATCTCGTGCCATTTTTTAAATATTTTCTGCGCGGACCTCATCTTACGGATTTCCACCGATGTCGGCCTGCGGACTACGGACTCGCAGCATGACTCAGCGGGCGTGGGCTTAATCACGTCCCAAAGCCTGAGCCGTGCGTGAATTCAAGGTCGGAGAGTGAGAAAGATTTGTGTTTGGACAGCCGACACGATCGCCATGAAACTCTCGTGCTTTCCATTATTTGCGTAGTGCCCCGGCAGGCTGGCAATTCCATTCTTTCAGTGATCTTCGTTCTTTGGCTAAAACACGAAGGATTGAGAGGAAGTAGACGTGATCGCTCCGACAAGAATTTTATTCGCCTGACGTTTTGAAATCCCTTTTGGATCCATCATCAGAGACAATAGCAGAAAAGAGCCCCGGATGCTGGATCCACGGCGGTTTTCGAAACATCAGGCAACTAAAATTCTTGTTCCAGCGATCGCCTTTACTGCTTCTCAAGCACCTTCTGAGACTTACGCGTTCGTTTTTTTGGTATTTTTTCCGGCGGAATGCGCTCCAATCGGCCCGATTATGTTAAAAGGCTACCCTTCGTGCTGCCTAAGCCTATGTGTAGGTCCAGTTTCTGCACAGGTTTCTGGAGGTCGGATATTCTGCCAATGCCTTTACTAGTTTTTGTTTCAAAAAAATTGCCGAATGTTCGCCCTCTCCCTAGATTCAAAGTTTTGTGGCAACTCGAGC